AGCTGGCCTCAGCCCATGGATTCAGCCTGTCAAACAAACTCAAGTCCAAAAGCAGTCTGAGAATTTTTAAAACTACTATGGTTTTTTTCTCTCCCTTCATTATGATAGAACTTATTTTGTTTGCCCCACATAACATTATCCTGAAACTAAAGTGAATATTCTACCACTTAAAAAACAAACTTTATGCTTCTAATGTGAATGCTGGAAAGAACCTTTCAGAAAGTCTGCCTACACAAAAGAAACTGTACAGCCACAAAGCTGTTAGTTTTTTTAATAAGTTTAGTTTCATAAAGTTGTAGTTAAAACTACTAGAAGGAGTAGCTAAAAATTTTAACATTTTAGAAGAAGTGGCTTTTAGCCAACAGTATAGCCTGTTGGTTTGAGAAGGGCTATATTACCTCTAGAAACCTTTATTCTTTGTTGCATGCATGGTTTACAACTAAGAAAGTTTTCCTTACACTTGAGGTCATCACATAAAAGTGTAGGTGAACCAGTAGGTCTCAGAAAGCCTCATTATGAGTAAGGATATGTTCCCTCCCCCCCCTTTTCTGTGTTTTAGCAAGCTCTTGCAAGGACTTTGTAGAGGGAGAAGGTCATAGGTGTAGGTATATATGTTATAGTCTTACCGCTCTGGGGTTAAACCTACTGGGCTGCTTAGAATTTGTGAAGAACTCCAGGATAAACAGGGCTCTAAATCTACATAGTTTTTGCATTTCTCGGTTGACTGAGTGAAATTTGGTCACTGCTTCACGATAATGTAGGTGTTAGTGACTTTTCAAAATCACTGTATGGGCTGGAGGGGTCTTAAGAGGTCTCATGCTAAGAAAGGGTTATCAGAATCCAGTCTCTGGGTTATGCTTTTCTTGGAATTATAGTGGTCACAATTCATAAATGGTGGTGAAGCTGTACACAGGGTTTTTGTGTCACAGGCTGCTTCAGAGTGAAAGTCTCTGTGTACATAGAGCACGTGGGAAGGATGGAAATGTCTGTCATGAATGATAACACAAGGAGGTTGGAGATGACAATGCAGAGGCTTAGGTTGCCATTGGTAGAATCTGTTCTTTTAATCACATTACAGCAAGCTTGTACATCTTGAATGAGTATGACAGAGTCATCAATACAAAAAAAAATCAATGCATTTATGATTAGAAAAACTAATACATTAGGTTTTATCCATGGAACATTGTGAAGCTTTTGGTCAGCAAAACTAATGAATATAAAAATATTTGCATTGCTGGAAGCTGGATTAAAAAAAAAACACCAAAAAAAGGTAGTTCTCCATAGGAAAACTGGTAAGTCTTGACCAAAATACTCAATTACAACTGCTGTGACATGTGAGCATTTTGCAGTCTCATCATGTGCAGACTGTTTTCTTGTTCTAAGAAAGCGTTCTTCAGAGCAGAGGCTTAGAATGGGTGTCGAGGTGGGTTGCTTGTAGCTTTCATACCTCAGTACAGAAAATACGTGAGGATAATGAACTGATGATTTAATTACATTTATTTGTGCTAGGTGAAGCACATATATATGAATATTTGATCTTGAAGTCAAATATTTTTACATTTACTGTACTGAATCATGGAATGGATGAATGAGCTTTTTTTCCTAAAGTTCCTTGTGTCCTTCGAGTTACTTTAATGTATGAAATGAAATTCTGATTCAAAAAGTTCATTTATAATGGCAATTGAAGCAATTTCTACTTTAAGATGATAGCTAAAACATCATAAAGTGTACCTGTTTCGGGGTTCTAAATTATATGGGGCCTGTATGTTAGGATTTCATTTTGTGAAGTTGAACTCTTAGACTGACTCAGGATGGGAGAACTTGCCATCCGGTCTGACCAGGTAATTTCACAAAGTGAGCAGTGAAATAATTTTGTTTTGTTTGGCTTATTTAAAACTGAGCAAGATACCAGGTAGGAAGCATGCATGCATGGAAAGAATACCGAGAACAGTTTCTACTCTTGTGTGTTTCCCTTGACAAACTGTAGATAATGTTTTGATTTAAGCAGATGTTCCTTTGATTTAAGAATACTTTAAATAAAGCTGAAGTCTTAACTTTCCTGCAAGTTTCTGAACACCAATTTCCTGTTTATAACGAGATATATTTTGTCTTTTTAAAATGTTTGTATAAATTTCAGTGCAGGTTAGAATTGCAGGCATCCTGAAAGAGCCAAATTTATGCTTATAGCTTTATGCTAATGAAGTGGTGAATGAAGAATAAAGAACCTAGTTATTTGGGAATTCAAGCCAGCTAGAGTAATGTGTTGCATATTAGTAAGAACACATTGGAAATACAGTTATTCTGTCAAATGTCTTTCATGTGGTTTTTCATGTACCAGAGTTAAAAAAAAATGTGTATAACTCTCCCTGTATTCTCTCCAGAACTCTGGATGTAGATGTGAATGATTATTCTTTCCCCTGCCTTTGTGGTTTGCCTCTTGGGGGATAAAAACCAAACTGGAGACTAGTTCAGTTCAGTATACTCTTCCCTGAGACACATACGGGTGTTTTGCCTGTTTACAGTAATTAAAACACTTAAAGCAGAACCTGGCTTGTCAGTTTGAAAGTTGGAACCCCATAAAATTGATGATACAATAGTGAAGGCCTTCTCAGCAAGAATTACTTTTTCCTTCTACTCACCACCACCAATGCAAGTTATAGAGCATTTAGAAGACTGAGGACTAGGCAGGAGGGGGTGAGTGAGTTTGTGGTGCATAGCCTCAGGAATAGTAGTACTGTGGTGGTGTAGTTAGGCATCTGTATTTTCTGTAACTACTTCCAGAATCTTATGTCATTTTGCTATATAGTTGTTTTTATGTTCTGTGACACACAATGGTTGAACAGGCATGCACATTGTGTGGCTTAAATATAGAGGATGTTGAATTTCTGGTGGTGTGATATTGACTGTCTCTCACTTTCAGAAACCAGATGTCTTGACCACCGGTGCTGGGAACCCCGTAGGGGATAAGCTGAATATTCTGACAGCAGGGCCACGTGGACCTCTTCTTGTTCAAGATGTTGTGTTCACTGATGAGATGGCTCATTTTGACAGAGAGAGGATTCCTGAAAGAGTTGTGCATGCAAAAGGGGCAGGTATGTTTAAAACCACATTTTTGTGTGTGTGTCCGCGCGTAGAATTGGACTTTAAAAAGTTTTTGATTTACCACATAGATTGTGACAGATAAGTTGCATCGTATGTCCTGTGGTTTAGTGTTATAGATTATAATAATTATATTTCAACAACAGTGCTAAGGCCTAGTTTAAAAGAACTTAATACTAAAACTTGAAGCACTGAAAAACTGTTTAAAATTGTTAAAACCGTTAAAAACTGTTAAAAAAAAGAGAGAAGATGTAGTTATAGCCCTTAGATTTTTACTGTATTTGCTGTAATCTCTGCTTCCCTTATCTGTCCTTCCATAGAACTCCATTCTGCTGGAATGGAAGACTTGCCCATCTCTATTTTAATGTCTGTTTTGCATGTTATTTGATAGAGGTTCTTGTCTTTGTCATCCAATGTATCTGTCTACCAAAGCAAGATGATGGTCTAATATTTAAATTAAAAATAAAAAACCACAACTGATATTAAAATTTGTGGTTGATCCTAGTAGGGTAGAACTGGATAGAACTGATTTTTATTACGTATGACCCTAGAAGAAGAAATAATGTACTGAACTTCATTATTATGTGAATGTACATGGGAAAAATTCCTCTGTGAGGGTGGGAGGAACTTTATTGCTTCAGCGAGCTTGAAAGTGGACCCAAAATTCTGCACTACACATCAGGACTAAAAAAATACTTGTCTTATTCTGAGATAAATATGCAAATCTTGGTAAAAGAGCATCCAAAAAGCTACTGCTTGTTATTTTGCACAATAGAGATGAGGTCTGTATTGCAGCTGGGAACTGTTAAGAATCAGTTAAGGAGGGGAGAGTGAGCATCATGCGAACAGTAGCTTGTGTTCAGTAAATTTCACTTTGTGAAACGGAAGTGACCATTTTAGTGTATAGATACAAACTCTTTTTAAACTGATGTATTTCCATGTTTCCTTTTGACTTAAAGTTGTATCTTGTACGGCAATGGAATAACAAATATGACATAAGTGGAAGGAAGGTATCTAATCTGATATTTTGAAATTACTTTCTTTTTCAGGAGCCTTTGGCTATTTTGAAGTCACTCATGATATTACCCAGTATTGTAAAGCAAAAGTGTTTGAACACATTGGAAAAAGAACTCCAATTGCCATACGATTCTCCACGGTTGGTAAGGGTCTAAAGTTATTGTGTGTCTTTTTACACGCGTACCATAGTTACAGCGATAGCAATGCTTGCGTTGTGGAGCACTTAAGGTACTTAAGGTTGTTTGAAATGCCTTCTGCCAACCAACTCTTCTGTGAGTTTCCTTTAAGTTGTAAGACTTTAAGCAGCTTCTGCGTCTTTCTGTCCGAGCTCTCTGTAGACACTTTTCCCTCTGGCATGTGAGAGAAAGGATAATCTGACCTATTTTTATTTTCTGAGGAAAAGCTTGCTTTGTTTCTGGATGGATCATGATCAACACTTGAATGCTGTGATTTAGCACTTGAAAGCACAATACCTATAATCTCTTATACTGTAAGAATGTTTTGGGATGAATGCTGTAAAGTAAGTACTAGGCAAAGAAGAATGAACTGTCTTCCATAAACAAACTTATTTCTTAAGGACCTGAATGCATTAACTAGCAAAATCTTACAGTAGTTAAAACATTCATTATGGTCAGTATCTTGTCTGGTAGAAAAATGATCTTTCAAAACTTGTGTTACTATTCTGTCTGTGCTTAAAAGAAATAGTAATGAAGATTCAGCTCTGGAAGTCATTCTGGAGAGAAAGTAGTCCTACTAAGGCTCAGGGAGTTGCTGTTTTTGGCCTGCTGTTTTTTCCCTGTGTCACCAAAACTGAAGGGCTCATGAAATATTATATGAGAGAAAGGCATGCAGCCGAGTCTGATCTGTGCACGATGTGCTGAAGGGGGTTGTTATATTGTTACCTTTCCCTGCTCTGTTTGAACACGTTTCTTCCTAGCTATTGTTCAGTACACACTTTTTAAAATGAGATGAATGTCGTTGTTATTTGATCGTGATGCTTACTGTTAGCTGTTCCTGAATACTTCTGGAACACTTTCACTTGGGTATTGTGGTAGGCAATTTTGCTCCAATATAAAATTCCCCATTGAAAGGACTGTTTTGGATAAAGCAAGAGGAGTATTAAAAGGGTTACAACTCTCTTATTGTAAGTTCTCTTTTTAGTTGGTACATTATTCAGATTGCTCCCTTCCAAATGAGAGCTTTCACGCTGGGATTTGCTGCACAGAAACTAATGTGTTTTTAGCCGATTCAGCCTTATAATCTGATGCTGTCTCTATTCGCAGTAATGCAAATTCCATTCTTAATTAGTCAAGTGGATATACTTGTTTTTTCTTTCTTTTAACTGTGGCCCAAAAGCTTGGGCGGGTGTCTGTTCACACTTTGGAACTTGCAGTGCCGTAAGTATTGTTGAAAATATGCCAAAAATTACTTGTTTAGAAAAGACTTAAAAGGGTGGGGTTCATTAACTTAGGATTTGATGGCATAGTCTCAGGTTGTATGTTTCTACGCTTGGAATTTGGATAAGTTTCCTGTCATAACACTTCTGTATGTTCATGTGTTTCTTCAAGCTGGAGAATCTGGGTCAGCTGATACAGTTCGTGACCCTCGAGGCTTTGCAATGAAATTCTATACAGAAGAGGGCAATTGGGATCTTGTGGGAAATAATACTCCTATCTTCTTTATCCGGGATGCAATGTTGGTGAGTAAGCACAAAAGATGAGGGTACTCCGTGAAAGAGTCTAAAAGTTCATTCACATCTTCCTTCACTGAGGAGCAAAAGCTGTTGTTTTGACACAGTTAAACTTTCTTTGTTAGATGGTCAAAACACTTTTGATTTGGAAGGACATTTAAGAAAAACCATAGTAGTTTTAAGAACTAATGCTTGATTATTTATGTGGTTTCGTACCACAAATAACACGTATTTAGTTGTGTTTGCTAGTGCCTATGCCACAGCAGATTAGCCAGCAAATATGTACGTTATTGTGTTTTTAACTTGAGATCTAATTGGTTTTACTCATGTTCACATTAGCTGTTTTACTCTGTAGATGTTTTTTTTAATTCGGAGGCTATTTCGGAGGAAGGAGGAAAAGAAGGTTTTCACTTTAAAACCTTCTTGCAAATTCTTTCTTTAAATCTGATTTTTGGTGTATAACAATGGAAGATTTCTTTTTTTTTCTTCAGTGATCTTCCAACTTTGTCTCATCTTTCAGTGTGCTATGCCTTTCATTTTTAGCAGCTAAGGCGGCCAATGGCATCCTGGGGTGTATTAAAAGGGGGGTGGTTGTAGGTCAGAGAGGTTCTCCTTCCCCTCTACTCTGCCCTGTGAGACCACATCTGGTCCAACTCATCATCCCTTCCAACTCCTAATATTCTGGGATTCCATGAAAAAAACAGTTTGTCTTGTTTTGTACCAGGAGTTGCTTTGTATGCCCTGTATGATTTGGAGGTGTTAGATTTATTTATTTTTTTCTTTCCGCTCCTTCCTCCCTCCTGCACTTCTGGACAAATTAGTTTCCATCATTCATCCATAGCCAAAAGAGGAACCCTCAGACTCATTTGAAGGATCCAGACATGATGTGGGACTTCTGGAGTCTTCGCCCCGAGTCTTTGCATCAAGTAAGTTTCTCCTTTGACTTTATTTTGTAAGATTAAGAAAATATATTTTTAACTGTCTCTTTCTGTGTTTTAGCTAGAAGCCTGCATAATCTTTCAGGAACAGTAAAGGTGAAAGGCCTACAATAACTTTTAAGGGTATTCGTACATGTATTTAGCCTTTTTTCTTTTAAGGACTCTATGAAATGGGTGGCACTCTTCTGTTTTCAAAGTCATATTTTATATAGGGATAAAGGGGAAGTTGTTAAGTTTTCTAACTAAAGCAGTGGAGATACTGGTGAATAGCAAACTGTTAATGTTAAAAACCAGTAAAATACTAGAAAAGTAATGCTATCAGTTTATTTAAAGTTGTATATTGTGTAGCACGTTAGATCAACTCCCAAAATGACTAGAATTCACAGTGTGTTCTAATTATTCTGAAATGTATTTGTATCCAAGAATGTTAGGCCAAAAAAGCTAATATAAAATTAAAAATGCAATTGGGATTTTTTATTTTTGCATTGTTTGTGATCATAAACCTGAAGAAAAGCAGCGTTTTGCAAATGTTTGCCTGGTATGTATTTACTGCTTGAAGACCTTGAAGAGCTAGTTGCTAAGGACTTCAGTTTTCAGATTTTGTCTTTAACGCGGAAGGTCTTATTTGTATTTGTAACTTAAATTACTCATGCTTATCTGCCCTGTGTGTATAGGGGAAATCGTATCATTATCACTAGGTTAATGTCTTGTACTTCACCAAATATTTTATGTGGGCATAAAACTTCACATAGGTTTAATTCACAGTTACTCTTTGCGCAAAACCAAAGCGGTCTTATTTCACTAGCAAACTTAAAACTTGAACTAGAAATTCATCAAGAAATACGCAACATTAAGATAGTTTCCAGTGATGCAGATTAATGCAAGAAATGATCTTTGTCTGAAATGGTCACTTTATCCTTGAACTGGTGAGTCCATTAATATCGTGTGATCCTTCTCTTTAGGTGTCTTTCTTGTTCAGTGATCGTGGTATTCCCGATGGTTTTCGCTATATGAATGGATATGGATCACATACTTTTAAACTGGTCAATGCTAGTGGAAGAGCAGTTTATTGCAAATTCCATGCGAAGGTATTGGTATTGTTTTCCAGTTATCTATTAGAAGTACACATCATATTGGATAAAAAACAGTTTAAATTGAGCGTCTAAAAATGTTCTGTGACTTTTCGTGGTTAATTCAGAAAAGACTTGTTAGTGCATAGCCTCAATCAAAAAGGTGTGTATGTGGGTTTTTGTCTGTTGCATGCCTTCAGAATCCAGAACTTTCAGCCCCGAGGGCTGCAACCATCTTACCACTTTATGTTGGCATGTGATCTGCAGGAAAAGGTGGGATCATGGAAGAGTAAAGGAACACCCCATCCTGTCAAGGGACAGGGGAAACATCTTCACTTGATGTGCTTCAGGGGTTATACCTTCAAGTTTGGTTTCTTGTGTTCCACAGTGTAGCATTGCATATTTATGTCACTTTCATCAGTGAACTGTTTTTTATCTGGAAGGCAATTGTTGGGTGCACTGTTGTTCCAAACTCATTATCAGAGATTGAAAGATAGGCAATCACATTCTTAGATTTGAAGTCTTGTTAAAGTACATTCTTGTTTCTGTAATACTTCCTGCATGACGTAACTGGTGCTGCTGCTTGTGTTGCTTTTAGACTGACCAGGGCATCAAAAATCTTTCTGTTGAAGAAGCAGGAAGGTTGGCTTCTACTGATCCCGATTATGCAATACGTGATCTTTACAATGCCATTGCCAAGGGGAACTGTCCGTCGTGGTCTTTCTACATTCAAGTTATGACGTTTGAAGAAGCAGAGAAGTTTCCATTTAATCCTTTTGATTTAACTAAGGTACCTCTGATACTGTTGTGAATATTCAATTCCAGCTAGTTTAAGATAGGTGATGAGATCAAAAGATAGGAAATGCCAGAACTGAGTTTATCTATAAAAAACATGTAATGGTTTCCATGGATGTTTTCCATGGAGTTCCAGTCTAGTCCCTATCAGTAAAGTTAGTCTCTTCTTTTTATTCTTTCCTGCTGTTTAAATGTACTTTTTATTACATGGTCATGATGAGTCAGAAATTTTGGAGATGAAATTGTATTGATGTTATATTTGATGTTACTCTTGCTTAGTGAAATATGGATAGAGCTTGATTCCAGGCCTGTGAATTACAACTGCACCACACTTCAGAAGTGTGATCTCAGATCACGTAGTCACATCCTGAGCTCGCTAGTTTTAAGTGTTGTTGATAATGTAGCTTCTGATTGTTGGTCTGATTTTGTCAGACTTTTGGTTGCTGTTCCAAGGAGTGGCATGTTGAAAGATGCTAACGAACTTGTTTGCTTGTTTGTTTTGCTCTCCCAAAATGGCTAAAGCCTTTTGAACCTGAAAGTACAGGCTAAGATGACAAAGAAAAGGCTAGTTAAGCTGGTTGCATTTTGAAGTAACTAAAAACAATCAAGCTACCAGTTCAATTCATGATGTTGCTGTCCTAGGCAGTTTTTGAAGTGCCTGTGGGTATTTCATTTAAGTATTCAAGTGCTGAGATTTTGCTGGGATGATGAAATAAATTGCATTAATATTCTGTACTAATTGCAAAAGACTTAAAATAAGATATTTCTCAAAATACTTGTTATCAAAATAAATCTGTTCAGTAATGGATTTTCTCTGTCAAGACTTTATTAGGCAGCATTTGCCCAATTTATTATTTAAGCTGCATAATACTGTAATAACATTGACTTTAATGTGTGTGTGTTATGTCTTACAGATTTGGCCGCATGGTGACTACCCTCTCATCCCTGTGGGAAAGCTTGTCTTGAACAGGAATCCAGTCAATTACTTTGCAGAGGTAGAACAGATGGCATACGATCCCAGCAACATGCCACCTGGTATTGAACCTAGCCCTGATAAAATGCTGCAGGTAAATTACGATGTACATTCCTGTCCCTGTTTGTGTAGCAGCAGTAAACCTGACAGGTGGAAAGCAACTGGTTTTTGTTTTGTTTTTGTTTTTAGTTGGAGGGTTTTCTTGGTGGTTTTGTATTAATGATTACTATTTGATGTGTTCATCCTAAAATTAAATATAAAGAGAATGGGAAAGAACTGAAGGAATAGAACATTTGGAGTTCAGAGGACGTCGGCAACAACTATGAAAGTAGATGGGGAAATCCGTCAGTCTGGCAAGGTATACAGGATAAAACTGTGGCAGCAATGCATATTTAGTCATGCATTTACAGTCTGTCTTTGAATTATCAACTGAGTGTGGGAGGTAGACTTCAAATGCTCTAAAATACAGATATCCTGTATTTAATCCCTGATAAGTTCTATCTGTATTTAGAGTTTATAGTTATAGTTACAGAACTGCAAGATTGTTATTTAGAAGTATTACCAGATTTCTTACAGGTCAACATATCTGATAAGAATGGCTGCAGTAGACTGCCGTCTGCAGAGTCACGGATATTTGCACGTTACGCTTTTTCAGATGAAAACCAGATTGTCATTTCAAATTATGTCCATGGAAACAAGAAGGTGTTTTAACCGGATAACTTATAAACCATCATGCAGCTCTTTTGTTTTGCCTCTCTTTGCTCCCACAACATTCATGGTCAGAATCAGTCCGTCTTTTTGGCATCCAGATGTCACTAGAACTACTTCAGATTCAGTTCAGGAGTTAAATAAGGGACTACCATATTTCAGATGTAATCAGTTTTTAAATCTGAGGTTGAAAATAAGTAGGAAAAGATGATATTATTCCTTAGTAACATTTAGCACAGTTGCAGCCATTTTTCATCTCTACACGTGTAGCTGTTTTCCTGCTTCAGAATAGGCTTAGCATTCTGAAATTGGCATGAAATACCCAAGCTGCATAAATGCAACTCAACCTGCTGTTTGGCACTGGTATTCCAGGAAAGTTAGTTTGTGACTGAGTGTCACTCTGTAAACAATTTGAAGTATGTCAAGAATATATATGCAAAGGAAACAGTCTTTTAGTATTTAATGTATAGTGATTCGAACTGGCATATACCACTTAAGTGATCTCTTTCAGCAAGTAATAGTTAATGTTTGTGATAAATGTTTTAGGGTCGTCTTTTCTCATATCCTGACACTCATAGACACCGTCTGGGACCTAACTATCTACAAATTCCTGTGAACTGCCCCTTCAGAGCTCGGGTGGCCAATTACCAGAGGGACGGACCAATGTGTGTTTCTGACAACCAAGGTAGTAATGAAATTGTCTTTAAATGTGATGATACTTATGCACATACTGTGTATGCACTGTATGTCTCTTGTCAGTCTTGTACAAGTATTGAGAATCAAAACTTTGCTGTAAAACATAAGCATGCTTGTGTAGATTACAGAATGCATTCTTCACATCATTTTTTAAGACTAAAAGAAGGGCATGGATGTTCCTTATATGACTTCAGCCTCGTGTGATGTAGTTGATAGTCTCTTAAGTGTTTTTCAGTTCAATGTATGTAACTTCCACTTGCTACAGATAGACTCATTTTAAATTTTGTAAACAAGGGAAGGAAAAGGTGTTTTCTTCTTGGTTACTGAAAAGTAGAATGTTTGTCATCTTTAGAGACTTGTTTAGAATGGATGTGAATCTCTCCTATTAATTCAGGAAAGACTTTGGATGTCTGGACAGAAGTGTTAAAAAACAAGTGAAGTTTAAAATGCGTTTAAGCACTTAAAAATAGACCTTTAAGAGAAAAAGGGAGTTTGCCTCTAGTCGAATGAATGTCCCTAGCTTCTTTCTTTAAAGAGACTTGTAAAAACATGCTTGATAAAAGGGACTTAATTGAAAAAGCTCTAAAACGCCATTTAAAATAAAGAATTATACCAGAGAAAGGGTTTCACAGAAGTGAAGAATTACTTCCTTGTTTCTCTGTCTAGGCAAAAATCCATTCTAAACATAATAGAGGTGGCCTAAATGTCTATGAGAAATCTGTATTTGCATTTATTAAATTTAAATACTGACTTTGATATACTTGGTCCGCTTTGTTAAACTGCTTTATGTTATGGTTTCCAAGAGACTGTGAAAGGCGAGGGTGTAAATGCCAAGACTAGAGCTTTACCT